CCAGCTGGCAGCCCCTGGGATGTGGGAATGCTTTAGAACTGGCCAGCCCTGGGCATGCAGGACCCAACAGGCAGCCCCTGGAATGTGGGAATGCTTCAGGAATGGCCAGCCTTGGGCACACAGGACCCAGCTGGCAGCCCCTGGGATGTGGGAATGCTTTAGAACTGGCCAGCCCTGGGCATGCAGGACCCGGCTGGAAGCACCTGGAATGTGGGAATGCCCCAAGACTGACCAGCCCTGGGCATGCAGGACCCAGCTGGCAGTCCCTGGAGTGTGGGAATGCCCCAGGAGTGGCCAGCCCCAGGTGTGGTCAGTGTCTGGAGCTTCCCAGGACACAGAGCAGGTGTGGGGACAGCAGGCAGGCCATGAATAATGCATGGCTGCTCTCTGTGACAGTGGCTGTGACCGAAGTGCTGTCCCTCAGAGGGAGCTGTCCCTTCCAGGTGAGCTGGCTCCAGGCTGGATAAATCCATCTCCTGGAATAACTGCCTCTTTCTTTCCCAGTTAGTAACAGAGCATAGGGGAGTCTTTAACCTGGCTGTTTTTGTAGTGAAAACCTGGCTGTGCTGAAGGCATTGGAGTGCTGCCACCAGCTCCATCCCTGCTCTGCTTTCAGCAGCTGCAGCTCAGCCAGGCACTGCTCTCCTCACTGTGCTCTGCCAGACCCATTGGGTCACTCTCCTTCCATTCCTCCCCGAATTCACAGGGGCTGGGAGCAGGCAGTTCTGTTTGCTAGCACTCTGTGGTTAAGGTCTGCACCAGAGGGGATTTTCAGGGGGTGAATCAGTGAAGTTTTGAGCTGCACCCCCTGCACTGCTGGGAACAGGCAGCTCCTCCCTGTGCATTTCCCACCCAGACCCCTCAGCCCAACCTCATTTCGCTCCCAGCCTGCTGGAGCTGTCACCAGAGCACCCCTGGCCTCCAGCAGAAGGGACACCCGTGTCCCCACTCACACTGTGAATTGGTGTTGGGAGCTGTGGGCATGGGGAAAGTGGGACAGTGCTTTCCCAAGAAGGCTGTGGGGAGGACAGCAGTCCTCGTGGGAAATTCGGGGAGCAGATCTGGGTTCTGGGCTGGGTTACAGGGGCAGGGTGAGCTGCAGTGAGCTGGTCCCTCCCAACCCTGCAGCTTCGCCTTCTCCCTGACTACCAAGACACATTTTGGGACCAAAGTCTGTCATTTCCAGCACCAGGCCCCAGCTGATGCCCAGCCTTGCTGCCCCACTGCTTCCATCCACCCCCTTGATTCCTTTGGATTTACACCAAATCCTTTTGATTTTTCCTTCTGAAAATTGTTGAACCCCGGTGTTCAAATTTGTCCTGAGCACCACGAGAGCCATCCCAGGGAGCAGGACCTGGCCTGGGCTGTCCAGAAACGTGGGTTTCCCTCCCCCAGGGCCGTGCAGCCCCCTGGAGCAGTGTCCCAGCTGGCCTGGGGCTGCTCTGGGTGGCACGGAGCCTCGGCACAGCGGTGACGTGAGGGAGAGGTGTCACAAATCCTTATCAGTGCCACGCTCCGGCAGCCAGGCTTGTGCTGCTCAGATAACAGCTGTGTCGTCACAGGAAGGTTCCTGGAGTGTCTCATATCCTTGTGCAGGTGATTAGGGGGCTGGTGACATCAGTGGCGCTAATTGTACCCAGGTGGCTGCACACACAGGGCCCAGATATTCCAGGGAGTCTGTTCTCCTGGAGCTTTGCAGTGGGCAGTGAGCCAGCTGGACCCAAGGCACTGTCACCAACAAATCTGCCTCTTTCAAGTGGGACTGACCCTCCAGCCCCTCAGGGCTTTGTGGAAACACTCTGGATGCCACACAGCACCGTGATTGAATTGGCACGGAACGAACCAGCTCCATCCAAGCTGGGCTTGCTGCTTTGTTCCGTCCCATTTCCACAGCCCCAGCCCCTGCAGCTCCCCCTGCGTGCCCAGCCCACCCTTGGGACACCTGGAATGAGCTGTTCTGGAGTTCTCCAGCCTGCTCTGGTGTTCTCCCCTGTTCCCTGAGTGATTGTGCTCTGGGCACTCGCAGAGTTGTGGACGAGTGTTCCGAACGAGCCCAGGCCACTGTGGGCCAGTAAATAACAGAGCTAATGCAAGGTGTGGGATTGAAAAACGGCCCTCAGTGTTCCTGTGCTGCAGGTGCCATCAAAGGGTCATCTGGTGCTTAATACACCTCGGGGATCCCTGCTGAGGGCTCGGGTCTGCCAGCCTGCTGCCCGTGACACACGGGCTGGCTCCACTGGCTCTGTGGGGTGGTGCCACACAGGCAGAGCTCCTTGGCATCCCCATCCTCCCCAGGCAGCTGCGTGGGGTGCAGTGGGGAGCCCCTGGCCTGGAGAAGCCACCAGGATTGCTGGGGTGAATGAGCCCCCTCCTCCTGTGCTGTCACTCAGGGCAGGAGCCTCAGGAGCAGCCTCGAGTGCCTGCTCTGCCACTCTTGTTCTCCGTGACCTTGGGCAAGGGGACAAAGGGCCAGAAGTGTCCTGGAGGTTGGGAAGCAGTTAGGGACACCTCAGGCATGGCTGGGCATGGTGGGGAGCTCTGTGCCAGGCGGGGGGAAGGAATCCAGGAGCTTTGGGGCAACACCAAACACCAGTTCCTCACCAAACACGAGTTCCTCACTAGAACCCAGTTCCTCACTAAAAACCACTTCCTCACCAAACACCAGTTCCTCACCAAACACGAGTCCCCACTCCCCAAACAGCAGTTCCTCACCAAACACCAGTTCCTCATTACCAATTCCTCACCAAATACCAGTTCTTCACTAAAAACCAGTTCCCACTCCCCAAACACCATTTCCCACTTGGGAGCCCCTGGCCTGGAGAAGCCACCAGGATTGCTGGGGTGAATGAGCCCCCTCCTCCTGTGCTGTCACTCAGGGCAGGAGCCTCAGGAGCAGCCTCGAGTGCCTGCTCTGCCACTCTTGTTCTCCGTGACCTCGGGCAAGGGGACAAAGGGCCAGAAGTGTCCTGGAGGTTGGGAAGCAGTTAGGGACACCTCAGGCATGGCTGGGCATGGTGGGGAGCTCTGTGCCAGGCGGGGGGAAGGAATCCAGGAGCTTTGGGGCAACACCAAACACCAGTTCCTCACCAAACACGAGTCCCCACTCCCCAAACAGCAGTTCCTCACCAAACACCAGTTCCTCATTACCAATTCCTCACCAAATACCAGTTCTTCACTAAAAACCAGTTCCTCAATACCAGTTCCCACTCCCCAATCACAAATTCTCACTCACCAACCAGTTCCTCCCCAAACACCAGTTTCTAACAAAAAACCAGTTCCCACTCACCCAACACCAGTTCCCACTCCCCAAACACCAGTTCCCACTCCCCAAACACCAGTTCCCACTCACCCAACACCAGTTCCTACTCACCCAACACCAGTTCCCACTCCCCAAACACCAGTTCCTACTCCCCAAACACCAGTTCCCACTCCCCAACACCAGTTCCCACTCCCCAAACACCAGTTCCTACTCCCCAAACACCAGTTCCCATTCACCAAACACCAGTTCCCACTCACCCAACACCAGTTCCCACTCCCCAACACAATTTCCTCCCCAGGCACCAGCTCCTCCTTTCCCCAGGAGCAGACAGAAGGAGTCCTGGCCTGGCCAAGGCTCAGCACCCCTCTCTCGTGGCTGCCTCCTTGCCCTGGCCCAGTCTGTGCTCTCCTGTCCTTGCACACAACAATCCCTCCACCCCACGAGGATCAGCCTGTGTGCACACACAGATATCCCCTGGCTGGTTACAGCCTTCAGATCTGCTATTTTTGCAGCCAAGAAATAATCAAAAAAAGGGTAAAAATATCTTTATTTTGTACAGGCTGGTGCTGAACTAATGTGATCCTGCTCAGGAGCCTCTGAGATCCTCCAAGAGTTCCTTGTGTGGAGCACATTAGTATTGCAATCCATTATGCACAGGGACAGGAGTCTGGAGAGGAAATGATTTGGAAAATGGAACAGACCCAGGGCCCAAACTATTTCTCATATGAAAGCTCAGAAATGTGGCATTTATGGGATGCCAGTGGATGTGAGCAATGCCAGCATCCCTCTCATTAATGTGCAGTGAGGGGATGTCTCCTCCTGACACCTTCCCTGGGACCCCAGGTGGCTCCAGATGTGTTCCCCTTGCCAGGAGAAAAGGGATTTTCCATCTCCATCAGCTTTCAAGTGCCGCTGAAATGGCTTGTGTGCCTTACAGCCCTCACAAGCCACCCCCTTCCTGCTTTTCCTAAGGCCCAGCAGAGAAGGAAAATCAGGGCACTGCGCTTCACGTGTCCATGATGTTCACAGAGGGGGAAAAAAGATCTTGGAGTATCCAAGGGGAAAGCATTGCTGCAGCTGGACTGGGTGAGACTGCTTTTCCCTGGGAATGGCAGGGAGAACTCAGCCATTAAAGCAATCCCTGCTGAGCACAGAGCTCAAGGCAGGCTCAGAGCTCTGCTGACACCAACCCCTGCAAGTTGGTTAATCCATGTTTCTGGCTCGTGGTTCTCCTTTAGAAGCCACTCCCAGCACTGCTAGGGTTTGAGCAGGGATTTCAGGATGTGGGCATCCTGATCTGAGGCTGTTTTAGGGGAGTTTGGCTCGGGCAGGGTGGTTTTGGTGTCACTTTTGGGAGGTGCCAGGGCTGGGGCCAGCAGTGGCTCCTGGTGGAGGCAGGGCTCTGTGTGCCGGGGCAGTTTGTCTGCTCTGGGAGGTGATGGAGAGGTACCAAAACCCTGGGCTGAAGCGAATTAGACAGAGCAGATGAGACACCAAACAATAGCCAGGCAAGCCTGGAAATACTTGCAGCAGATGCACAGAAAGAAACAGAGCTTTTAAGCCATATTTTTAAATTTTATTATTACTGCTAATGTTGCTTTTTTTCTCTGTTTATGGTATGAACCCAGCTGCTTTGGATTCACAAGTACAAATACTGAATTCTGTTCTATTCTATTCCGAAACACTGCATTCTAGCTGTGTTAAAATACATTTCCCCCCTTTTTTTTCCCTGTCTCCCCAGGGCTCTGGCCGACATCCTAAGGCAGCAGGGACCAATCCCAATCGGACACTGTGAAAGAGAGACAATCTCGGCCATAGATACCTCCCCCAAAGAAAACACCCCAGTCAGGAGCTCTTCCAAGAACCACTACACCCCCGTGCGCACCGCCAAGAGCAACCCAGGTGAGTGCTGCTCGCTGAGAGCTGCCAGAGCCAGCAGAGCATCCCCTGCCACAGCACAAAACTGGATGTTTCTGGAAAATCCCTCTGCTAGGGTTCTTCTGAGAGGAGGAGAAGCTTCAGCTTGTCCCTGTTTTGCTGCTTTGGGGTGTGGTCTGGGGATTGTTTATTAATCGTGTGAATTGTTTGAATTTAATGGCCACTCATGGTCCAGCTGTGTGGAGGCTCTGAGGAGTCATGAGTTTTTATTGTTAATTCTGGTTAAGGCTTCTGATGTATCCTTCCTCTTTAGTTTAGTGTAGTTTTAGTACAGCATAATATAATATAATATAATATAATATAATATAATATAATATAATATAATATAATATAATATAATATAGAAATTGTATACATTGTATACATACAATTTCCAAACGATCCTAGGAACGGCAACACTGACAATATACTTCTTTTTTGAGATTTGTCTCTTCCCTGGTCCTGGAGACCCTCACAAAGACCACAACAGCAGCCTGTGTAAACCTAAAATTGGGATGGCAAATGGCTTCAGCAGGGAGTGCAGGGTGATGGCTCTCTCAGGCAGAGTGCCTCTCCTCTCCTCTCCTCTCCTCTCCTCTCCTCTCCTCTCCTCTCCTCTCCTCTCTCCTCTCTCCTCTCCTCTCCTGGATCCAGGCTGTGCCCGGGGATGCTGCTGGGCTCTGTGTTTGTTACCAAACACGTTTGCTGCAGGCAGCAGCAGCTCCCTGCACACAGCAGCTGAGGATGCAGAGCTCCGAGGGGCTGGGGCTGCCAGGCTCAGCCAGGTGGGCTCCAGGGGTGCCCTGGGACATGCAGAGGGTGACCCACAGTGGCTCCAAGAGCACTGCCCTGGGAATCAGGGCCCACAAAACACATCTGTTGTCGTTTTCATCTAACCATTTTTTTTTTTTTTTTTTTTTTTTCCAAAAAAAAAAAAAAAAAAAAAAAAGGAATTATTTTTGCCTTGATTTCCCCAGTGGCCCAGGGATTGCAGCCTCTTGGCTGCAGACCTTGTTCTGATTTATTTAATGCTCCATGGATGGGGAATTGTCTGTTCAGTGGGGCGTGGCAGCTTCCCCATCACTCCTGGCCTGGATGTGGGGCTCTCCTGCACAAAGATGTGGGCTCTCCTCCACTCATGAGTGCTCAGCCTCACGTGGAAGGTTCTGGTGGCATTTCCTGCCCTGTGTGACCCGGGTGTGCTCCTGGTCCCTGCTGGGAGGGCTCTGAAGGGAGCCAGTGGGAGCTGTGGGCTCAGCTGGGAGGGGAAGGGCCCTTGGCTGCTTTGTGCCTGTCTGGAGGGGTTTGGTGCAATGTCCTGCCCCTGTGGGGACAGGTGACAGCATCCTCTGAGGGTGACATTGTCCCTGCTGTTGGGCACAGAGCCCTTTCCCTGAGAACCGAGCAGGATTCCTTTGCTTTCCCATTTCCACCCCCAAACCGGGGAGCCCTGTGGTTTTGTGTGTAAATTTGGATCTGTGAGATAAAGCCTTGGTCTGGAGAACAGCCTTGAGGTGAATTGTGTGCAAGAGGGAATTGCTGCTGCTTATCTGAGGCTTGGAGCTGGCTCTGGACAGGAGTTGTGGTCCTGAAACACGAGGAGGGAGGGTAATGGCTGGTGACCAGGGACAGGCACCACCAGGGGACAGCTGTGACATCACCCTTGGGGTGACAAGGGTCCAGAGAATGAGTCCTGGGGGCTGAGGGAGCTGGGGGGGCTCAGCCTGGAGCACAGGAGGCTCAGGGGGCCCTTGTGGCTCTGCACAGCTCCTGCCAGGAGGGGACAGCCGGAGGGTCGGGCTGTGCTCCAGGGAACAGGGACAGGAGCAGAGGGAACGGCCTCAGGCTGGGCCAGGGCAGCTCAGGGTGGGCACAGCAGGAATTTCCCCATGGAAAGGGGGCTCAGGCCTTGGAACTGCCCAGGGAGGGTTGGAGTGCCCATCCCTGGAGGTGCCCAGGGAATCCCTGAGGTGGCACTTGTGGTTGTGTTTGAGGATCCCAGGACGAGGGAAGAGATGAGAATCTTGACTCCGTGTTTCAGAAGGCTGATTTATTATATTGTGATATTATATTATATTAAAATGATATACTAAAACTATACTAAAAAGAATAGCGAGAGTGATATTATATTATATTAAAATGATATACTAAAACTATACTAAAAAGAATAGAGAGAAAAAGATCCATCAGAAATCTAGAAAGGAATGGAATGGAATGAATAACAAAAGCTCCTGACTCTCAGCGTCCATGCAGCTGGACCATGGTTGGTCATTAAGTAGAAACATCTCCCATGGACCAATCAAAGATGCAGCTGTTGGTAAACAATGTCCAGAGCACATTCCACAGCCATCAGACAGTTTTGTTTGCATTTCTTTCCTGAGGCTTCTCAGCTAGATTAGGAGAAAAATCCTAGCAAAGGGATTTTCATACAAATATCACAGTGGCAGGCACTCAGGGCTGGGGACATGGTGGAGATGTGGCACAGGGGGGACTCAATCCTCTTGGATGCCTTTTCCAGCCCAAATAATGCTGGGATTCTGTGCCATCAACATCTTCTCTCTCTGTCCCTTCCCTGTGTCTCCTGCTGCTCCTCAGGGCACACAGATCCAGAAGGAAGGGGCAGAAGGAATTCCTGGCTGGCTTAGGTGCTGTGCTCAGGCACTGCGAAGCTGAGAGGAGAGAAATGGCAAGGTTTGGAGGGAGATGCTGGCTGCAGGAGCCCTGCCTGCTGGCTGGGGGGAGCTCAGGCCTCCAAGGGCTTTTTGAGGCTTCGTGGTGCAGAAGTGAGGCAGGGAAGGATGCAGGGACCAGAGCACAGAGCTGTGAGCAGGTCACACCTTGTGATGGAGTTGGACCAACAGAAAAAGAGTGAATTAGCAAGCAGGAAAATGCCAAATAAATGGGAATTAGAGACCTTGCAGAGTGGCAGCAGCTGCTGGTCCTGCCTGAGGACTGGGACAGGAGCTCAAGAAGGGAAAGGCAGGATGTGAGTAGGATCCAGCCCCTGCCTGGGTGATGCTTTCCAGGCTGTGTGAGGGGGAAAAGCCATCACAGGGGAGTTCAGGAAAAGGAAAGATCCCCAAAGGCACACAGGAGAGCAGTCCCAGCACAGCCTCCCTCCCTGGCACTGGGCTCTGCTCCCTCGGGGCAGCCAGCTGGACTGAGCCCTCAGCAGCCCCTGCCAGGGCTGGGAAGGGAGAACTTGCCCAAAAGAACTTGTTCCTGGCTCAGCTGTGGCCACCATCAGCTCATAGATCATGGCAGACAGAAAGCTGATCACTCACAGAGATCACGAGCCCATAAAACAGCTTTACAGGTAACGTTTGCTTGTAATGTTTTATGGGCAGAGCAGGGCAGTGCTCTGTGATGCCTGTGCTCAGTTATGAGCCAAACTTCAGATTATTGGTGGGATTAGGAAATTGTATGAGTGGATGTTAAAATATTTCAGTTGGGAACAAGTATGTGTCCTAGCTTAAATAGAATAAAGCTGGTCAGCCCTGGCGTGGAGCAGAAAATCAGCAATGCTTGTTTTTTGGGTACAAGGGAAAGAAAATGAAAAAGAAAATAAAAAAAAAACCCAAAAAAAAGAGAAGGAAATAGGGAGAGCTGGAGGAAAAAGAGGCAGTAATATGGAATAGCAGGATCCAGGCAAGGCACTGCTCACTGGGGCTGCAAATTGGCTCAAGGAGCCCAGAGCTGCAGGGTTTGGAAAGCAGCAGGTCTGGTGGCTGTGGCTTGTCTGAGGAGCCCAGAGCAGGAGAGGTGAAGCAGCCAGAAAGGATTGTCCTCGTTGCACAGTGCTGATTGAGTTTGGTGTTCGTTTGACTTGGAACTTTTGTTTCCAAACTTATAATTGGAAGGGTGCCCCTAAGTCCTGCTAAATAAACCTTGGCTTCATTTTTCCGTGAGGCTGGCTCGGTGTCAGTGAGCAGGACGATTGTGGGTGACAGTGACAAATGGAGCTGGGCTGTGCCTGAGGCTGCAGAGCCCCAGCAGGGCAGCCTGGGCAGGTTCTGCTGGGGGCAGAGGAGAGGACTACATCTCCCACTGCTGCTCCAGAGGAATTCCAGACTGCTTTGGGCTGGGAGGGACCTTACAAACCTCCTGTCCCACCCCTAGCTTTCTGGAATTGCATGGTGACACTCTGTGTGCTGTGGCTGTCCCAGCTGTGGCATGTGCTGTGACACATCCCTGCCCTCACAGGGAGGAATTCTTCCCTTGAATATCCAATCTAAATCTGCCCTCTTTCAGCTCAAGATCGTTATCTCTTGTCCTGTCCCTCAATCCCTTGTCAATTCTCTCTCTCCGTGTTTCCTGTGGCTCCTTCAGGTCCTGGAAGGCCACACTGAGGTCACCCCAAAGCTTCTCCTCTCCAGGCTGAGCACCCTTTGCTCTCCAGCCTGTGAATGCCCTGGAAGCCCTCCTGGCTTTCAAAATACTTGAAATATTTCTGGCCCTTAAAGGGTATTTGAAGGCCTTTTGGAACCCAAATGCAGAGGGTTGGTTTGCTTTTCCCAAAATGTGGCAAAGCACTGAAAGGTGCACAGAGCTGCTCCCATGGGAGTTTCCTGGGTGCCCTGGGAGCAGAGGGGTGGCAGACATCCAGGGTCATCTCATGGCTGTCCTCCAAGCCAAGGACAAAGCACAGGTGACCCCAAGGAAGGCTTTGAGACATTTGGCTGATGTAGATCACTGCTCTGTCAAAGTGCTGGGTTTACTAAATCCTGATGGCTCAGGGGGAGCCAAATGCTGCCCCACAGCTGGTACAAATCTCTGATTCCCAGCACAGCACGTGTCTGCAGTGCTCCTTTATCCCCAGCCTCCTGCTGGCTCTCCCACACTGACTCTTTTCCATGTAGCTCATCCCAGCCTGGGAGAAAAGGGATGTTCAGGAGCACCAGGCTGATGTGGGAAGCCAAATCTGTTCAGGACAGGGCTGTCCCTGTCACCCCTGTGAAATGCTTTCAGCAGGGAAGGGTCCCAGG